ACGGATACCAAAAAGTAAAGAAACTGTTCATACTTTTTCATCACAGTTTGCCCAAGTTAATTCTTACAAATTTGCAATTTGCAATAATGCAAAAAAAAGTTGTATTTTCAAGTGGAGGAAAGGAATGAAGTCATAAGATGAGATACTACTGCTATTCTCACCCTCTGAAACCTACACTTCAAGCCCTCCAAAGTGACAAGGTGTAGAGCACTGTAGGATAAATCATGGCCTTGAAGGTTGTGCATCACAAGTTCCTCCTGCTTTTGGGTCAAGGGGTGAAGTTTCTAATCAGTGGCTGATCCTGGCGTGAGTCAGTGCGGCTGCAGAAAACACTACATAAACTTGGTGAGCAAAGAAAAGATGAAGAGATCAGTGTGGCACTGGATGGTAGAAAGTAATTGATATGGGAGATATGGCTGATGTATTTACACGACGGAGAAAGAAGATTTGAAATAGATGTAGAGATGGCAATGTTTCTGCTTGACTGACAAGGTCTCTTTATCACAGACTGACCAATCAAACTAAGAGGGCGGAGCTAAACCCAGACATTGTAGGTATAAGAAGAGCGGTGAACAGTGCTGCTTTCTAGAAGGTTGTAAGGCCTCGAGGAAGTGGTGAAGGCAAACACTAAATGTGAACACTAGACTGTTTGTTTATTTTAAAACTACATTGGGTAAATCACCTTTGTGTGTCTATGTGTGTGTGTGTGTGAGTGCATGAGTGTGTATGTGTGTTTGTCTATGGGTGTGTGTAAGTGTGTTTGTCTGTCTGTGTGTCTGTGAGTATGTGTGTGAGTATGTGTGTGACTGCTTGTCTGTGTGAGTGTGTGTGAGTGCGTCTGTATGTGTGAGTCTGTGAGTGTGTGTCTGTGTGTTAGTATGTCTGTGACTGCTTGTCTGTGTGAGTGTGTGTGTGTGTGTCTCTGTGTGTTTTATTTTAAAACTACATTGGGTAAATCACTTTTGTGTGTCTGTGTGTGTGTGTGTGTGTGTGTAGGGGGGCGGGGCCTTATTAGAGAGTAGTAGTTGTGACACTTCCAGGCTGTGCTCTTCAGCTGCCCGCCTTTTCTTCCTCTCATATAAAAGCCACTGAACCGCTGAACAGTTATGTTCCTCAGAGGACCCCGAGTGTTCAGTTTCATCAGACCACTTCATACTGCGGTCACTGCAAACATGCCCATCAAGGTAAGAAGCTCGTTTAGCCGTAGTGTCGGTGTTGTTGTTGTTGTTGTTGTTGTTACACACAGTTCCGGTTCCACTGTTTTATGTTTATATCATTTCCAGCACGCGCTGCGTGACGGCCATGCTGACTGAGCTAGTGACGCAGCAGAGTGTTTTTGTGTGTTTACAGCAGTATAAATGCTGTTATTCAGAGTGTTACTGTGACCAGGCGGAAGTTTGGCTGGTTAAACATTCTCAACTCAGTCGCGACATCATTAACTTGGTGTATTTTCGCTTGCTGTTGGACACAAGCAGGCACACCATCATATTTCTGCACAATTCTTCGGCTACACGTCTTTTAAATTCATCTTGCATGCTCCATCTTGTCATATTTCTTGTTTGCAGTACACATTATGCCCAAAATAAAACTTGTGACGTTACTGAAAGGGAGACGCTTGCACAGTCACGGTGAACTGCGCATGCGCATTGACAAGACACTGTCAGTTTTGCTGTCTGAAGCAGCTGATGTCCAGTCCTGCACTTGTCCCCTAATGCAGGGGGTTCTCAAAAGTTTTCCATTCAAGGACCTCTTAAACTGTAAAATAAATCCCACAGACTCCCTCAGTACAAATTTATCTCATGAATGAATATTTATTTAACTTTCCAATAAACAGACTATTTTATTGTAGCCATAGAGGCAGGTCCAAGTTGACAGTGTTTATAGACCTACATGGTTTTGAGTTATTGAGGTTTGGATTAAACCTATTTGATTCAAATGATTATTGGCTGATAACTATAAGAACCCAATAATAATAATAATAATAATAACTTTTCAGTTGTGATTTCCACCACTGTAACTACAAGGTGTCCAAAAAGTCAGGAACCAATGGGACTATACTGAGCAAATATGTCGATCCAAATATGTTGAGCAAAATCCACAAAAACATGATACAGCGGCTGAGAAAATGCGTAAGGGTGAACATGTAGAGCATATGCTGTAAGTAATAAATACTAAATGAAGTATGTGGTTTTACTCTCATTGGTTCCTGACTTTGAGAACCGCTGTTTTAAAATGTTTTCTCCTGGCAAAACAAGTTGCACCTTTGTTTGCACATTTTATGCCATTGTATACAAATACACAGACAGGATTCATTCATTCATTCATCTTTAGAAATTGCTTTATTTCAGTCAGGGTCTTGGGAGATATGAGGTGGCATCGGTATATGAGCCAGTGTATATACTTATACATATCCATATACAGATTTAACTTTAATACCACATGCACTGAATATACTAGAGCTTATTGTCATCCTATTAAACCTGATGAACTACCAAGCTGAATTGAGTTGAACTGTGTGTGTTAGGACTAAGGAAATGCTAAAATAGACCGGGCAGGGGTACGCCAGTGAGCAGGATTGAGATGCACATATGTATATCACTCTTTCCAAGGTTGGAGAGAGTCTGCCAGCTGTAGAGGTCCAGGAAGGAGAACCAGGGAATAAAATTTCCATCGCCCAACTCTTCAAAGGGAAAAAGGGGGTACTGTTTGCAGTGCCAGGGGCCTTTACTCCTGGATGCTCCAAGGTAGCTTACACACACAGCACACATGATACACAGTCCAGGACAATACAGTACACTTCTGATGGTGTGGTGTTGTGTTACAAAAGATTCAGTTGTTCTGCCTACTTGGTTATGTTGCACTTGCTGCTCAAAACAGCAGCATTTATGATCATAATTCATGGATTGTAAAGGTTAACTTATTCAGCATGCATATGTGAATGTGACTCTTTGTGTGGCTCAGACGCATCTCCCAGGATTTGTGGCTGATGCTGAAAAGCTGAGGAGCAAAGGTGTGCAGGAGGTGGCCTGTGTCTCTGTGAACGACGTGTTTGTCATGGCCGCATGGGGAAAGGAACATGGCACAGATGGCAAGGTGAGCAGGGAACCCAAGGCATAAACCACTGATTACTACAGTTGTAGAGAAGTAATGATTTGTAATCCTATGGCATTTACCCAGAAGAGGATGTGTTCTTTTTGAGTCTGGTTCCCGTCAACACTTTCTTCCTCATGACCTGTCAGGGACTTTTTCATTGCCACTATCGCCGTTGGTTTGTTCATTGTTAATTTGTTCTGGATCTAAATCTATATTCATGTTTCTATAAAGCTGCTTTGTAACAATGCCTATTGTTTAAAGCACTACACAAATTAAATTGCATTGAACTGAAACTTATATTTACACAACTTAACGTTACATCAGTTACTGAGCATCACTGAGGCTGTAATTACATATCCCAGCCCGAGAAGCTGTTTATCAGAACAAGCTTAGAAACCTGTTAGAAACCTGATCTTCAGCCACCATGAAGGATGCTTCATGGGTTATTCTGTGTATTGTTCAGCTGGAAAATGGCCTTTCTCCAAGTCCTCATATGCAGGTTTTTGGAAATTGACTTCCTTGTGAATTCCCCAACCAGCACTGTGACAAGTGGTAAAGAATAGGAAATAAGGAAATCGCAAGCCTACATTAAAGATGTTTAACAGGTTTGGCAGTGTATTGTTTAACTGACAATCATTGTTTTGCCATGTCATCCAAGGTAGGTTTATTAGAAATTTTGCTTCCATGGAAATTCCCATTTCTCAGCATTCAACAGGGTATAATCTCCCAGTTTGTGGAAGGATGTAAAGGACAACACAATGTGCCATGATTACCCAGTAATTTAAATTGTACTGTATATAAAGTGGATAATTTTTAAATCAGAATTTGTCATCCCAAATCGAAGACATGATTGCCCCTCACTGTTCAAATTCTCCCAATGAACCCTCTCTTGGCTCCCTTTCTCCAATCTACACCTATGTGTGAAATCATTAAGTGGTAAAAAAGCTAGGGCTGTGCATGTGGAAGGTGTGAGGATGGTAACTGTAAGGGAATGATGAAAAACACCACTAACACCTCATGGGAATAAATGTGAAGAATGTTCATTGATTAGGAGTGAAGTTTCCTCTCTTGGTTGGCACAAGGTAACTTGCGGAGAGCTTCAACAGAGCTCATTAAATATTAAGTTTTGAAATTTGTATATCACCACGTTGATATCTGAAACCTTTCCATTTCATTATAGGTGCGAATGCTGGCCGATCCCACAGGAGCCTTCACTGCGGTAAGATTTGTTTTTGATATACCTACCGTTCTCATTAACAATGCAGGTGTCAGGAAATTGTATGGAAATCCCTGTGCAAATGTGTCTCACCGCTACCCGTCTGAGCCATGCGCCGTGGTTTGCAACGTCAGGCCCTGTTTCCTGTTTTGGACATGTGAACATGGTGTAACTACAGATTACGTTCTTCTTTTTCAGGCAGTGGATCTCTTTCTGGACAATGATGACATTTTGAAGGTACTTGGTAACAAGAGATCCAAGAGGTAAGAATTATTTTCTAGGGCAAACAAATTATATTTGTGCTTGTGTAATTATAAACTATAGGGAACCCTAGCTTATTTCTAGGCAACAAAAGATATCTGCAGCTTCAGTTGAGCCCTTTTCACCCTGCTAAATAATTTGGAAGGCAATATTTTTTTAATGTTACCTCCTTATGTTATCCTAAACTAGCCAAGTTGCCAAGTAGTGAATTGCCACAGCTTAAAGGTTCATGGGCAGTTCTCAGAAACCCCGTATAGTCTATACTAACAGCTCACACCAGAAAATAATTGACTCAGGTGGGACTGGAACCTACAACCTTTGAATGGCTTCAACTCTGAGCCACGAAGTCAAATGTACCACAGAGCCAAAAATAGGTTTTGCAGCTCGGAATCAGTGCCAAATTCTTGGAACAGGGCTGATATAAAAGGAAAGACATTGCTAGGATTCAAACCCAGGCTCTTCTGTTTACTAGACAGCTGCTTTAACTAACTAGGTCACAGTGACACACCTAGCTTTCAGAATTCATGATTATGTCCATGCTGCTTCTCAAACGGTTGCTGATGCTAAAGCAAGCCAACTCCAGCAGAAGGAAGTAATTTTCAGGTGTAAATAATGAGTGTGCAGACTGTAAAAAGTCACTCGAGCAGTTTTGCTTCTTTGTATAAAATTGTATTGGAAAATCTGAGTATTGAACATGTGACATGACAGCATTACTGCATTATTAAACACAAAAGCTGATCAGGTTTCAATATGCAAAAGCAGAAAACAGCAGTTTACTAGGGAAATGGGATGAAGTTTGTAGTGTTGGAGAAATCAATCTGGAACATTCAAGTCAAAGTGTAAGTGTTTCAATGTCACATCAAGCAATTATTGTCATTAATACAGGTATTGGGTGACTTTGACCTCTAAGATCCATGTTCTCCAGCCCTTGATTACCTGGTTCATGTGTTTAAGAGTTTAAGATTCCTGATAATAAATAAGGTTCTGTGTAAAATTGTCATGTCTTGCGTAGATATGCAATGGTTGTTGAGGACGGCGTGGTGAAGAAGCTCAACGTGGAGCCTGATGGTACCGGTCTCACCTGCAGCTTAGCCTCCAACATCCTCTCTGATCTGCTCTAAAGCACAGACTGCACCAGTGTCTACAGATCAACACCACCATCAACTTCTACATCCTTACTGTGACTTATCTTTCACTGATCAGTATTTTCAGTTTTGCTTCAGTTATAGTTATAGTTTTTTTTTATATATATATAAAAAAAAGGTGTCAGTGGCGATGCAACTAAAGAAAGCATAGCAGTACTGTAATAGAGGACGCTACACAGTTGCGTGAGACGTCAACGCACAACGTGAACTTCATACGCACAGTAATCCGAAATGCTGCACTGCACAATACCATTACTGTTACTCTGACACTGTTACCTGTTTATCTATAAAAATAATAAACAGAACTTTTGCATTCCAGTGAACGTTTTCTCAGCTTCGTTATGACCACAATAAACATTTTGATTGACTTTTTCAAAAAAAATTTAATCAAAACAACATTCATAAAGAAAGTTTACAATGGAGGAAATGATGTATATTCTACATTTTTGTACAGAATAAGTAGCTGGTAAATATTGTAGAGAAAGAACATCACCAAAAACAATGAAACCGGTAATTTAAATCAACAATAATTACATCAGATACAAACACAAATCGAAGCCTTGTTCTGCAGCTCATTGGACAAAACATGATTATTTAAAAAAAAACATTTTCACTTTATGAAAGCGACATCTGGGATCTTTCCTCGGGCCTGTAAAAACAAACACTGTTTAGGAAATGTGTTCAGTATCAACAACGAATTGTACTGGACTTTGCTATATTTGCACATTTTGTTTTGCAACTAAACAAATGTGAAATGACTTACCTTAAGGTCTGTGAAAATCTGACCGGCCCGTTCAAAATTCCAATCGTTGTCTTGCAGACACCTGCAAAAAAAAAAAAAAAAAAAAAGGCAAATGACTATCAATAACTACAATGCAAAGTATCCGTTACCCATGTGTGGTTTTGCTGAAATATAGTACATTTCATGGATATATGTATATAATACATACAGTCAACTCTTACTATTGGCACCCCTCATGAAAATGAGCAGAAATAAATGTATGTTATAGAGAGTTAAGGAGACGCTAGTTTTATTATCTACAATATTTTCTAAACATAAATGGTTCTCTTAGTAGTGCAATTTTTCTGCAGAACTTATTTGAGACAATGTCTAACGCGGTTCAAGAACAGTTACAGATGGATCTTGGACCACTCCTCTATGCAGAACATTTCAAGTTCCTTTAAATTATTACTGGTGTAGGGTTATAACTATTTGGATCGATGCTTCAATTTAAAAGACTAACTGAAATGAATCGAGGCAACAATCCTAAATCTATTCAATTATAGCTGATTATAAATCAGTTGTTATTAGAAAAAGACAGACAACCTGTGTGTAAAAAAATTAACTCATTTTTAAACTGATGTGTAAATAATTTTCTAAGCTGGAATGGCCATTTGCTTGGAATTCTCATACTTAAAATAGTCCTTCTCTATGTTCTCATCATTTACGAATTAACGGTAAGCCTACGATACGCATAGAAATGTCTGCATGCACGGTTGATAAATGACAGTGTGTGAGATACTGCATTCCTACATCCATTCTTGTGTTCTTCTGTACGTGTGAGGTCCTTATCTTGGCTAAAGATCTACCTGGCTCAGACAAACAGGTTTTGGGACAAGATATCCAGATTGAGATCCCTGACTGAATGTCGACTGTATACTGTGGTGTGGGGTAAAGCTTTTAAATCTTACTTCTGCGACCACTCCAGATTCATGCCTGACTGCTGGGAGAACGCAGAGAGCATTTCCTGTTGGGTGGCAGACAGCGTGGGCACAGGGCTGCTGGAGGGGGTCGGGGCCGGTGCGACAAACGCTCGCCGAATCTCCTCCGTCGTGGCATTCCGGACAAACATCTCATCATTCACAATACACATCCTGAGAATACAAGACAAAGCATGCATCAACAATGGTACAAGGTAGCTGTGTCCTCCAAATCATTCAAAGATTCGAGAGAAGGGCCTTACGTTCCATTTCCAGGGGACACGGCAATGAACACGCGAGAGAAAGCTCTGTATGAGTCACGAGAGTTGCCATCCACTGGAGAAAACACAGAATGAGAGAAAAACTTGGCAGCTGGATCTTGCAATAGAATTACCTGCGATACTCCAGTGTTTTTAATTAATTTCTAAATTAAAGATTAAAATCACATCCATACCTTCTTTAAACACTCCACTGACCGTGAATGACAGCAATGTGTTCTGCGAAAAGGGAGAAAAGCAAGATAAAACGGATGCTAAGCGACTTAAATGCAGACTATCTGTAGCATGGTGAAATTCACTCACAGTGTAGGTGTTGACATCGACATTAAACGAGGCAATGTCATGCTGGGTCTTGGGAAGCTCATTCAGAAACGCGACCACGTTCAACCGTGTGTGCTTCAGCAAGCGAAACCTTGTAGCTGAAGGATCAGAACAATAAAATATTACTTAAGGTGCAATGATTAAATGGTCACAGGTTAAGTCAGATTTTCCACTTTGTGTAGATGAAAAAAAAAAAATCTTCCATACAGTAATAATCCAGTAACTAAGCAAGTGCAGAAAATAAGAACAATATTCTTACTGGAATCTTTCACTCGCTTGATGTTACGATTGTCCTTCAGGTACTCTCCCAAACTGCTTCTACAAGAACAATAAAACAAAGTGATTAAAAAGACCTAGCATTAGCTACACTCAGCCACTTTACCAAATAAACCTACCATATACATGCACTTTGTAATGTAAAATTACTGACTCTGTTTGTTAGCCACCTGTTGTACTGAATATCAGCACGGCTGTGATTTGGTTGAAGGTCATTAATAAGGACATTCAGTACAACAGCATGATTGCAGTCAAGATAAATTTATAAATTTAAAAGTTATATCCGGAATTTATATATTTCTGTAAAGCTGCTTTGTGACGATGTCCATTGTTAAAAACGCTATACAAATAAAACTGAATTGAACTGGAATATTGCTTAAAGTCCACTAACCAAAAATTTCCAGTCAACTGCAACCCTGTGGTAATAAACTGACACTGATTATGGGCTGGTGTCCAATTAATACACACTGTGCATGGGCAAAAAGAGTGTATAACTGTACACTTACACGATTGACTAACAAGGAAAGTGCACCTAATAAAAATGACCAGTGAAAACGCAGTTTAAATCTCCCAGCAATGCTGCTGATTTCGGCCAGGAGAAGAAAAAAAATCCAGAAAATGAAAGATTAAATGGTTCTACAACATTGTTTCAAATCTAACACTTTTCAAACAGTTGCTAGGGGAAGAATGTTTTGACACCATGCGTAGCCACAGCCACGGAAAAAAAAGACATATGACGGTGATAAAGTGATAAACTAAAAAATTTCATAGCCTAGTTGCACAGAAAATTTTCTCTTTTTGGTCCAGTGTGTCTTTCCATCTGGTTTCAACCAAAGATTTTAATTTGAAGCATCAGCAGCACTCACAATAGCACAACAATGAGGGTAAATACAAGGTAGTACTAAATTGTACTGTGTGTACAAGGACATCCTATAGGTGCCAGCCAGAGAACAGTCATAAAGCCAGACAGGAAGCGGATATACTCTACCTGGAAGGGTTCTGCGAGGAGAACGGGAGAATGAGTGAGAACGTTGCTCCATCGTGATAAGCATCAAGCAGAGGCTGTCTGTCTGCTGAGTCGTATATAGCGTAATACCTTAGACAAGAGAAATACATTTAGCTTCAGTCACAACCCTGCTTCGTATTCATAAACACAAACTAGACATTCAGAATTGTGAGAGCGACGTACTGTTGCAGGAAGCAAGTGATCAGGCCCTTCAGTTCTTCTGAGCCAAAGTAACTGGGCTGGATTGAAAAAGATTCAGATTAGCTCACATTTAAACAGTATACCAACATGCTAAAAGAGGGGTGATTGAGGAGTCTCTTATTCCACTAGGGGGCAGAATAGAGCAATAAACTTTACAAACTCAGCTACTGATAAGATGTGCTAATATTTAATTTTTCATTAACAAACTAAACATTTGACACTATAAAACCTCTTTCCAAAAGAAATAATTTAGGAGTGATCAGAGGTTTTATGTTATGAATATACTGTAAATCTAAACATGTTTTAATTGTAAATATTTTTTACAAACTATTGATTTCACCTCCCTCACTTCAAAATTATGGATTATTTTGTGTGGACTAATGACAAATTCATTTCAGTTCCTGGCTGTAACACTTAAAAATGTGGAAAGTTCAAGGAAGGACGGAAAAACGTACGCAAGCCATTTGGTAGAATATATATTTTTTTGTAGAATTTTTGATAGAATTGCAGTCAGGTAATCTGTTTTGTATGTGATACATGTTTAATCCTTTTAGATAAATGCCAATAAATGAACAC